AACTAACAATCAATTAATGTAATAAGATAAAGTATTATATTTTTAAAACAATGCTTCATTAAATATATCTTTAAGAATTATGAAAAATTAAGAATTAAATTAAATGAATCTCAAAATTAGAAATGGGAGGAAAGAAATGAAAGGGAATGATAGTTTTTTTAATAGAAGTTGTTGGTATTATTAAAAAATTGAAAATATTTAAAGTTGAAATAAAAGTTTATAACTATCATTGTAAATTAAATATATAATTTTAACATTTACCTATAATATTGAAATTAATCATTTTATGATATAAAATGAATTTGCATGAAAAAAAGTTAAAACTTCAATCAAAATACCCGAACAAAAATATATATGAAAAATTTTGATTGTACCTGTCGTAACTGGATTTCGTCCGAGCACGAAATATTTATTTTGGCGGGAAAATTGATGTGAATAAATGGTTTCGAAAATAATTTGGGAGTCGCCATCGGCCTTTTGGGTCAGGTAGGTCGAATACCTAAAAAATATCTTTTAAAAGAGTTTTTAAGAAAACATCAATTAAAAGATAAATTGATCTGCGTTTTAACCAAAAATTCGTTCTTTTTAATAATAAAAAGGGATTCGTGGTCGGTTACGTTTAGGGAAGGATTAGCACCCCTACAACGCCCAAAATTGGTACTTTTTAATTATAAATTGTCTCTATTATTAAAATTTTAAAAATTCAAAAATATATTTAATTTATAATTCTATTATTTCAAAATTATATAAAAATATTTATTTATTTAAAAATATCAGAAAAGAACTTCTAGGTACCTTAAGACAGCTCTTTTCTTTGATATTGATAAATATTAATTTAAATAATATTGTTTAATTTTTAATTTTAAAATATCAAAATAGGACATCCAGGTGTATTAAGACTGTCCTTTTCTTTGATATTAAAAATAAATATTTAAAAATTACTATTTATTATATGTATATTTATGAATATATAAAAATATTTAAAATATAATAAAATAAAAATATCACTAAAACAATATATTTTAAGCAGTAAAATGAAAACATATAAAATAAATAACTAAATTATAATAAAAAATAAAACTAAATCTAATTCCTAATTAATTGAAATTATAGGTATTAAATATTTTATTTTCTAATTTAATAATTTAGTGACCAAAATAAAATTATCTAAAATTCGAATTTTATAATAAAATAAATTAAAAATATGAACTAGGGATTAAAAAAAAGTATTTATTAAAATTAAGGGACTAAATCTGTCATTTATCCTAGATATATTATTTTAATAAAAAGGACTAAAATGAATAAAATTAAAATTCAAAGACTGAATTAAAATTATTATAAATTCAGTTTAGTGACCAAAATATAAAATTTACAAGTACTGAGGACTGCGGACGGGGTTTAACTATTTCATAATTACGCACATAGTCCAAACCGGCTGGCCCGAAAATGTTGTTAGTTAACTAAATAAAATTAAATAAAAAATTAAAAGAGAATAAGGGAGATCTGAAGAAAAAAAAGAATAAGGGAGATCTGAGCATACAAGGATAATATTTAAAAGAGAAAATAACTTCAGCGACCGAAAATGTTTTATAATATACGATTTTAATCAACTTTTTTTGGATTTGCAAAAATAACCAACAAATTCGCAATACGAACTCTAATTTCGCAACACTACGAATTTGGAATTCGCAACATAATTATAATTCGCAACTCAAACATAGAAATTTTCGCTTTCGCAACACTAATTACCGATATAGGTAAATACGATAGAAAAAATCTATAAAAAAATCCGAATTCGCTAATTTAAAAACTGAGTTGCGAATTTGGCAAATTTGTGTTGCGAAATGTAAAATCTCGCCTATTAAAGAAAAAATCATTTCGACAGTTCGTTTGTTTGGTTAAAGTTAAACGAACGAACGAACATGAACATACTCTCGTTCGTGTTTGTTCAATTCATTTACAGGCGTAGGTTTAACTGAGTGATTCATACGTGGACTTAGCAATTGAGATGTCCTATGTTGAAAACCACTCCAATGCATTTTATGTCCTTTAATTTTTTTCTTTAAGAGACGAGATTTTACATTTCGCAACACGAATTTGTCAAATTCGCAACTCAGTTTTCAAATTGTCGAATTCGGATTTTTTACCGGATTTTTTCTATCGTGTTTACCTATATCGGTAATTGAGTTACGAATTCGAGTTGCAAAACTGAGTTGTGAATAGTTGTGTTTACCTATATCGGTAATTAGCGTTGCGAAAACGAAATTCGCGTTGCGAATTTGGAAACTATGTTACGAAATTGGAGTTCGTGTTGTGAATTTTGTTGGTTATTTTTGCAAATAAAAAATAATAATTAAAATCGTATATTATAAGACATTTTCAGTTACTGAAATTATTTTCTATATTTAAAAATAGATCAAGTAGGACGTTTATGAAGCAATTTCAGAAGGATTAAGTATATCTTTCTCTTGTTCAAAACAAATTATAAGCTTTCTGAAGTTACTTTTTACGTAAGTTTCCATTTTATTTGGGACTATATTAAGGGGATGTGGTAGAAAAAAATAATTGGGGAAATATATGAAAATGAGATAATTTATATAACAATCAATGAAGTCCTCCGCTATTGAGGGCAACTTTATTCTCTCCTTTTCTTTTTTATTTTGGGATCAAATTATATAATTTCAAATTTTATGGATATTTTTTATTGATTTCAATAATTTAACTTTTTTAAAAAAATTATTGTATACTTAAAACACCGATATAATTTTATTTTCTTTCTCATACGCATTGTTTCTCTGGGTGATTAATGAGTTGAGCAGTTTGAATTTGGTTCAATCAAAATTCGGTAAAAGCTTAACTCGCCTTAACGAGTTGAGTTGAGCAAAGTTCAACTCGACTAAACAAGTTCGTGAGTAACTCGTTAATTTTTTTATAACTTTTAAGTAGTTATATTAAAAAATTATTTCAATAAGAATTACTAATTTACTTATAGGTAATAAAAAATTATAAATTATTAATCTATTAATTTTCTAATAAATAATTAAAAATGCTAAATTATTATTAATACTTATTGTTTTACTACACTCAAAAATAAAATCTTAATTATTATTTTAATGTATTTATGGATCGTTGTTTTGGCGTATAGAGTTTGAATTTGTTTTATTTAATCTTTTGGTAATTTTTTTCTTCAATTTATTAATTTATGTTTATATTAAGTTTTACTTAGTATTAGTAGATTTTACTTATACTTAAAAAAAGGCAAAGGAGTAACTTTTGCCCTTGTAGTGGTCTCAATTTATCATTTTCGCTCAATTTATCATTAATTTAGCCATCAAAGTTACTCAATTGCATCATTCTATAACGTTATCTCTAACCTAAAACCCTAAATTATAATCCTTAAACCCTAACTCTATTATCTTTAAACACTAACTTAGGATTTATAATTTAGGGTTTTAAGTTAGGGGAAAGACATAAAACGATGCAATTAAACAACTTTGAGAGCTAAATTAATATGAAAATAATATAGAGGCGAAAATGATTAATTTGGTCTATTACAAGGGCAAAGGTGACCCTTAAGCCTTAAAAATAAACAATTCGGTGAGCTTAGCGAGCAACGTGGCAAGCGACGAGCTTAACGAACAATAAATCAAGTAACAAATTTTCTTAACGAGTATGAGTCAAGCAAAATTTTAACGAGCATAACGAGTAACTAATCGAGCAACAAATTTTCTAAACGAGCAAGAGTCGAACAAAATTTTAACAAGCTTAACGAGCAACGAGTTGAGTCGAGCAACCAAATTTTTTAACGAGCACGAGTCGAGCACTGCTCAACTCGCGATTGACTCACTCGATAAGCATCCCTAGTTCCCTTAAATTGATTAATTTTTTAACATTTTCATTTTGGTTTATATTCTTTTATTTTCTTTTATTCTAGTCACAAAAAGTTACAATTATCGATAGTTACCTATGACTTCATTAATTATTATACAAATCACTTTATTTTCTTAATTAACCTTGAAAATACTCTATTTCTCCGATTAATTATATCACCCTTTCCCCCTAATTTAGCCTTTATTTGTGTTCATCGTTTTTCCACCAAACATTTTCATTTCTCTCTCAAATTATCTTTCCCCCAATATTCCAAAACATGACTTCACAAAAATTGCATTTGGTTGCAACATTTTTTTTTATTTTCTTTCATCATTTATTTGAAATCGTCATCATTTTTTATATTTTTTTCTTTTTCTTTTTACAAATTTTAAATTTATTCATATTTAAAGGGAAGGAAAGCGAAGTGTTTTAATATGTCTAGAACTCGTATATATGAACGGCACAAAATGCGTTTACTCATAAATTTTCTCAACTTAGAGAATTTTGATTTCGTGGATCTTGGCCGTTATTAAGATAAATGTCATTCTTTTGTATGAAAATATAACTAATATCTTAAAATTTATGTAATGGTGAATCTATCAAATAATTTCAGTAGTAAAAAATGATATTCTTCTAAGAGATTATGGGTTCGAGCAATTACGTTTATGGGATATGTGTCCGGGTTTAATATGTTAAGAAAGTTATAAACGTATATTACCTTCTAATCAACGTATATTATTCATAAAATTTATATAATAATATCTAACATCTTATACATGTTTGATCATATTTATCCAATTAAGTATAATTATATATCTTTTAAGTAATATTTTTTAGAATATTTTTTAATTATCGATAATATATACACGCTCTATAAAATACAATTTCTGAATCTCAAGATTTCTAAAAAAGAAAAATAATTTATCCAACCTAAGAGAGACAATGAATTTGAACACGTCCCAGCACGTGATGACCCCTCCTTGTTACCACGCTTGAGAACGACTATACCGAAAAGCAATAATTGTAAAACGACGCCGTCCTTCCGACAGTTTTAATTGCTTTTTAACTTTTACCCCCAAACACCCCCCTCTCTCCCACGCCCCCTTCCCTCGGCGTGCTTTTAGCCGATTATAGTCCTCACAAATTCATTCAAAGAAAGAAAGAAAGAAAACAAAACAAAATCCGAGAATCCCATTTCCTCTGTATGCTGATTCCTTTGTTGAATTTGAAAGAAGAAAAATTGGTAGAGATAAGGAAAGAAAGTAACTAGGATTCTGACTCTGTTGAATGATTGATTGAGTGGTAGATCATCCTCAATCCAACGCCTTGAAAAGGTAATGTCACTTCGTTTTCAGCTTTTTTCTTTTGGACTGCAGAAATGCTGAGAAAGTTTACTGGCTTTTGAGATTCTAGCTCGGCGGTGAAATTTTGCGAGATCTGTTGCTTTATCGAGCCTAATTGGGAGTAGTTATTGTAATTTACAATAATTTAGACTTTAATGTGGACAGTTTTTAATGGAAGGACTTGAAAAGGGTTATCCATTAATGAACAAAAATGGAAATAAATTATGGGTTTTCCCTTTTTATTTAATTTTTTACATGGAAAGTATGAATTCTGTTTTTTTTTTTTTTTTTGCTAGCCTATTGATGAATTGATGATGATTTGCAAGGGAGTGTGAGAAGTGGGAAGATTGATGGGAGTTTATGTTTGCTTCACTGTACATTAAACAAAGTGACTGTGACGAGCCTTTTGAATTAGCCGAGGTCCTCCTTTTTGAGCTCAAGGTCGAAACTTCAAAGCTTGGTTGACAATGTATTTGGATATTGTTAATGAGCTGAAAATGGCTGTTTCTCCCTTTCTTATTTCAGTTCTTCATTTTATAACCACTCCTCTGTGACCACTTCTTTACTATATTCTACTTTTACGATGCTTCTAATTTGTAGGATTTCGGAAATTAGGGTTCAAATTGAGTGTTAACATGGAATTCAGGCTTGGCATGTGTATGGGCAGCATAAAAATCTGTCAAATACATTACGGCGTTTTAGTTATCTCATAATTCAAATTGACAATTCAATTGTACCTAGCGCCCAGAGAACGCTGGGTTAGCCATGTTGTCTTTGATGCTTTTGTGATTTATTTATTCAATATTTTTTTGTTTATTGACAGTCCGGTTCTTTCATTATGTGAGGAATTTCACCTTTAATAGCTCATGAAAGGATTGTCCCTTTCTTCTACTTCTGGTTATGGTGTAATTTTTTCAGCGATATCCCTTCTTTTGTGGTAATAAGGGAGTTCCCTTGAAATTAATGCCAATTTTGACCAGTCTGTTTCTTATAAATCATACTGATCATATTGTAAATGGATTTTTTTGTTGTTGTAAAATCTCAACAATTGTTACATTGGTTCTTGGACGTGTATCATATCAGCTAGATGCTTACACATTGGATCAGATAGGTAGGAATTACTATCTGGAGATTTGTTTGTCTTATCGCTCAGCATTCTTTATGGTTTCTTTTCCTCTGTAGTTTGTGAAGTTTCGTTCCATTGATTGCATCCATAGGATTTATTTTTCAAGCAATTTTTCTCGCAGGTCTGCCTTGTCTAGTTGAGCTTTCATAGTTGGTACCATGGGTGTCTCAGGAAAATGGATAAAAGCATTGGTTGGCTTGAAAAAAACAGAAAAGTCACAATCTTCAGAGAAGGAAGAAAATGTTAGTATGGATGTTATTTTTTTTTCAAAAAAAAAAAATCTCCTTTTGGAAATTTAGATTTGGGTATGTTCATGTGTCATCTCATGAGCGCCTCTTCAAAATGATGAAGTGATGATATATTGTCGATATTATGTGCACATTAAGTAAGAGTTCATGCTGTGGATGAATTCCTTTTTCCTGGACTTGGGCACAATGGACTAATCTGGTACAAAGGAGAAAGGATGTTTTGTGGTAACTTACATGCAACAGTTATCCTCATTAGCTGACATCAATATGTGAATTTTGTTCTCTTCATCCATCCTTGTTTATGATGTTATATGTCATCATCAGAATGATTGTGCATTTGATGATGCTTATTTCCATTTATCTGGTCTTATTGTGGCTTGTAGAAAGCAAACATGATTTGATAACTGACTTATAGCAGGGCGTATTCCTTAAAACTTTACTGTAAAGCTTCAGAGTTTTATTGATAGGGACAGAAGTGTGAGTTTGCTTTTCTTTGATTGTATAATTTCAATATCAAAGATCAGCTGCCTTTAGCAACAATTGAGAAAAAAAATACCTGGGCCATTGCATAATAAAGGTTGCTATTTGTGATTTTGGTCTCATGAAAATAGCAGTTCTGATTTGTCCATGGTAGTGAAGTCATCAAAGTTGTGCGTTTTAGAATATTCTTTATGCCTTATGTATGTTTGTATACGTATACATATGTATTATTTGGGCACATTAAGAAGTTAGCACTTAAACGAGATTCATCTGAAGTGTAACACCATTTTTAGCATGTTTTTAGCTAATATTTTTGGTCTTTGGTTGTTATAGAGGTCAGTTACTAGCAAATTTCGTCACCGAAGAAAGCATTCTGTTGAGTTTGACACAGATAAACTTCAAGAAGAGTTGGAACGGAATGCTGTGCCAATAGCCAGAGACACTAATACTCATGCAACAGCTGATTCTGCTGGCTCTCCCTCTCGTTCACTTCAAGTGGTTGTTGCAGCTGTTAATGGACTTGCTATGGAAGAATGGGCTGCCACTAGGATACAAACAGCTTTTCGTGGGTTTCTGGTATTAATTCCACTTTTCATATCGTAACCATGTCGAATGAGAATTAAAATACTCTTTATGTCCCAAGATGTTTGGGATGGTTTGACTTTCATAAAGTTCAAGACATAGTTGTAATTTTGATTTAACCTTTATTTTAAAAAAATTGGCTGCGCTTTTTCTTGGTCATACATTAGAAGAATGTTCTTAAAATGTTGAAAATATCTTTTGTTTTTGGTAATTGAACCTGGGAATTTGAAAAATGAAGTTAGGGACAAAAAGAATGAGCTGGATGCTGTTGCTCTCTTCGGGATTTAGAGTGAGTGCATTTTAACAAGCACTCATTTTTACACATGTATTTTGCATCCTGTATGTGCATTTGTTTGTGGATGTGTTTTGTTTATGCTTATATGGATAAGGTGGTAGTGGTACAGTAAATCACTGATGCATAGTACGCCGTTCGTGTTATACTTCTTCACTTTGTTCAGACCATAAATTCTTATACAGTTTGAAGGCTATTTTTTTAATAAAAATAAAATTTATTGCATCCCTTCTTAACTGCGTAGAATACAAGTTTATTATTAACAAGAAAGGCCCAGCTTGTAATGATTTACCTGTCACCTGAACTCTATTTAAATAGTAATTTAACTTCATTATTCTTCTGCCTGATGGAATTGAAATGTATTTTACTTAAATGTCAGGCTAGAAGAGCTTTGCGAGCGTTAAAAGGATTAGTAAGGCTGCAGGCCCTTGTTAGAGGTCATGCTGTAAGAAAACAAGCTGCAATGACTCTTCTCTGCATGCAAGCTTTGGTGAGAGTTCAGGCTCGTGTAAGAGCAAGGCGTGTTCGACTGGCATTAGAAAGTGAAACTGCCCAACAGAAGCTTCAGCAACAACTTGCAAATGAAGTTCGTGTTAAAGAAGTAGAGGTGAGGAACATTAAATCTTAGTTCATTATTCATCTCAAACTACAACTATTTATTCACTGGCACACATGAAATAGAGTTGAATTCATGCATGCAGACAGGCTTACTTCTTGTTGTTGTGCATATACATGTGTCTGTATTCATTCGTTATCTTCGAGATTTAAATTTTAGGATCTTGATGAGACATCATATTCTTCTAGTGTGTCAACCTGATGAATTACTTCACTTGTGTGAGTCAGATCTCATTTAGAATGCAAGTGACAACAGACAACAATTTGCATCTTGTAAATCAGCACAAGAATGATGATAAAATTTCAATTCTAGAATTCATACCTAGTTCAGAATTTAGAATGAGGTTCATAATTTGAGGCATAGATGTTGGTAGTTTGCTGAATGCTTCATACGACTGATTAAATGCAGGAAGGGTGGTGCGATAGTATAGGATCTGTTGAAGAAATTCAAGCCAAGTTACTAAAGAGGCAGGAGGCTGCAGCTAAACGTGAGAGAGCCATGGCATATGCTCTGGCTCATCAGGTAAGATATTATAACAATACTGTTATTCATTAAGCAGCAAATCTTGCATTCCAGTAACACTTTTATTATTTGTGGAATGAATGGCTTACCCCTCAAATCAGTGCTCAGATCGCATTAGGGAGAAAGAGTTTTCGATGTTGCAATACATCTCTATTAAATTAACGTGCTCAAGCATGCTTTTATTGTAGTTGGAGCTTGGAGCTTTTGATTAGTCTTGGTATCTTCAGAAAGGATTCTCGACTATCTTTCCTACTTTTTTTAATGTGATTACGTTGTAAAAAATTGATGTCAGTATATTTCTGTGCTAAAAATTTGCCGTCTCCTATTACCACCATATCTGATATAACTATGGTTTCTTTATTCAATATTTGCTTGTGGTTCTCTTCAGTTTTGTGCATTTATTCAAGAACTCGTCCCTAAGAATAGGTCATTGGAATGATAAAGAGAGAGCTTAGTGTAATTACTGTTCTTTTTTAACGAAGGAGAAAACATAGAAAGAGAGAGAAAGAGGTAAAGGTTGGGCACACTTAGGCTTTCTTATTTTTTTCTACTTTTGCAACTTCGGTTTTGTTGTTTACTGATGGAAACTTGATAATTTGCTATAAAGTAAAAACAAATAATAAACAGGAACATTCTATTTAATCCAATATGCACAAATGACAAAAAAGGCAAATGGCAATTAAAAAGAATCCATATTTTGTAGTAAAATCACGCATTTTCTAATTTATAAATATTAAATATATATTTACTTCATCAACATTATTGTTTGATTCTTCTTTATAATCACATTTTATTCTTGGCCCAGTCCCATGTTAAAGTGGGAAAACCTGTTCTCTCTGAGCATCATTTTCATGTTTTAAGTTATCCTGGGTTTTCTGTTTTGTTAATGCTCTTGAGGGTTGAACATCTGCTGTTACAAAATTCTGTTTTGCTCTTGGTTAATTTTGCTACCTGGTCTATATGTCCTCTCTCAAGCCTCTGATATTAGCATCAACCCCACAGTTTATGTTGGATGCCAAAATCTTGTATAAAAATGCTTAACTCCTCCTAATCACCTGATTCTTTGATTGTCAGATTGTACTGTTCTCTTAGAATCATGTCAATGGCTGATCTCATTTTAGCTAGTGTTAAGAGTTGAGACCTGTTTGTGTAGTGGCAAGCAGGATCAAGACAGCAGTCTATGCCTGCTGGATTTGAACCAGATAAAAGCAGTTGGGGTTGGAACTGGCTGGAAAGGTGGATGGCTGTACGTCCATGGGAGAATCGCTTTCTCGACATTAATCTTCGAGATGGAATGATGATATGCGAGGATGATTGTGCAGAAGGAAACAATGGTTCCAATTCTCAGACAAAACCTGTTATCAAGAAGCCAGCTGCATCAAATCTTCATGCTAACCTGTCAAATCTAAAGACAGGTCCATCGAATTCTGGAGGGAGTGATTCTCCACCTGGTAAGTTGGCAAACGCGCTGGAAACAGTCAATGCATTGTCTTCCAAGCCAAAATCCAATCCAGTCCTTGAAGATTTGGTTGAAGAAGCTGGCACAAAACCTGTTATTACTTCAAGATCACGCAGCAATCCTAAAGAGAGGTCTATAAAATCAGATAAACAGCCAAAGAAGAGATTGTCTCTACCTAACAGTGGTAAGTTCCCAAAGAAATAGGTATATTCTCCTTGATGTAACCCTCCACTGGAGAATATAGTGGAGTGGTAATTAGTCATGCTATTTTTGTTGCCCACGGTGAATGAATGTAATTTGCAACCGTATCTTGCACTTGTGCATTTTGCTAATTTCTTGTTTCAATGGTTTGATTTGAGCAGGGGGAGGTAATGGAACTGAAACCAGCAAGCCTAGCAGAACTGCTGCAAAAGCGACACCAGGCTCTCACAAGCCGATAAAGGACAGGTCCAAGTCCAACGAACAAGGGGACTTGAATCCTGCATGAAATACGGCACATGCTTTTTGATATTTAAGGAAGCATCTGTGAAGACAAATCTGTTGGGTTGCCATCCACCCAGGTCTTGTTTATGTATATGTGTATCAAATTACAGCGCGAGAAGCAATTGCTTTATTTTCCTGTCATAAAATTGAGTGGCACCGCCGTGGCGGGGAGGGGAGTTGAGACTGGTTTGGCTTGCCTTGGTCTGTTATGGGAATAAGCCAATAATATGTAGATTTTATTTGTTACTGTTGTAATGAGCTGTGATTAAATGTAACAAAATCACTTGTGATTTGCGTGAATCAAGTAAAACTGAGTCCAACTCTGGTTTGAAAATTTTCCAGTTTTTACAAGAATTGCATTATGGCACCATCTGTCTTGTTATATGACCTTGGAGCAAATTTCATATTGCGATATATGGAATTTGATCGACATCAAGTAAACTCAACTAATGAATAAAATAAAATGCCAACAGTGTTTGGGCGCATTGAAAATGTATGCGGTAAAATTCAGATTTGGAAAAAGATATTACCGAGTAAGTACGAGCTAAGGATACATGACCAGGTTCTTTTTGTGCAAAGAATTTCTACCTCTACACCCTTTAATTCCTTTGTTCCTAAGTGTAAACCCTCTACCATAACAATCAATGGCGTTATATAATCTTTTCCTTAAGAATTTGCAAGTACAATGTGAAAGGACCTAGGCTTTAAACATTGTTTTTCCATGAATGGCAAACTGTGTCGGTGATCGAAGATGATCAATATGTAGACGGTGACGGGCACAACCCCAGCACCAGCCTCAGTGCATAACCCAACCCTTTCAAATTCTTCTCATTTTCTCCTTGAAATTATCCTTTTCTCGAAACAATGAGCAAGAATTTGGCAGCTTGTATATGGTTCTAAGCAATTCAAGAAGCAAGATTTGTGACGCCAAAGTATAGGGTCTTCTGTTGGAAGGCATTGATGGCATAATCAACCTGAAAATGACCAAGTGGAGACTTGAACCGAAGACCGTATCCGAAGCCAACTCCAGATCCTGGTTTCCCTTGTCTCAATGCTGGATTTCCTGAAACTCGTTTATCAAACAGTTAATAAGTAGCAGTTCTGCTTCACTGGTGAATTAGTGATATATGACAGCTTCCATAACATAAAATAGTACAAAAAGGATTAAGGTTCCATTCCTTTCACACACTAATTTCCTAGAATTACAACTAACCAATTCAATTCCTGGAAATTTTAAATTGCATGGCATTTTAGAGACTATCTACACTCGACTTGTCTCATAAAATAAACAATGGTAATGGAATGGTTGCTCCTAGAGTTGCAAGAAAGTTAAAAAGAGTAACAATAAGCAGATATAAGCTAGGTTCACACACCTAAGACATAATAAGCAATTCAATGCTAGATGATAATTTTCATGATGTGCATCTCAATGTGCAAGCAAAACAGATCAGAGAAATACAAGATTGGGATGCTTTTGATGCATCGAAAGAACTATTTGAGAGAAGAATATGAAGAGGTCAGCAGGCACCAACTGCCCAGCTTCCTAGCAGGGGTTTCAGGGTGATCATAGTCGTATAATAAATACAAAAATGAAGCAGATGCTTCATGACCTTAGAAAGCCAAATCATGCTATTTTAAACATGTTATACAAAATGCAATTAGTTGAGAATTAACAAAAGGCTGGAAGCATAAGATTCGATCATCATTTAGATACAACTTTGTAAGCAAGTAGATGAATAAGACTCACCAGGTACAAGACGACCCGAGCCCAAATCAGTTCCACAGTCCAGGAAAACAGAACCTTCCAACATCTTGTTCTGAATGCAGCAAAAAAAAAATGTCAAGACATGCAAATAACATAACCAACACTTCATGTACTTCAACATAACTTACATATAAACATTAGAATGCAATGCTCCCTATATAATAATAAAGAAAATAGTAATTACATACAAAAGGAATTGTCACTTCAGTATTAGCAACCAAACATGATCTTCCAGATCCAACAGCCCCTTCACCATACCCTCGCACGCTACCTAGACCGCCAATTGCAAACGCTTGATATGGAGCCATATCTCCTACAATCGAACCACCTGTCAAGCTGTAAGAGAAAAGGTAAGAATTGAGCAAATTTAAAAATTATGTAACAAGTACTCTAGAGCAGGCGCGAATCATGCACTTTTCAAAGTCGAGCCATGAATTCCAATCAATTTTCTCTTCACCAATGGAAGAGGGAAAAGGGAAAAAAACTGCAACATACTTGCCTTGTCAAGAGAAAAGCTGGTCCAAGTTTGATGCCCTTTGACGCAACAAACTTGAAACGGTTGAAGATTAACCACTTAGATAGAACTGGAATCCCTTGCTCTATTTGCATGGTAAACTGAAATAAGTAAAATTTTGCAGTTAGTGCCCTTATTCAAGACACATTAAAGATGTATTTCAGTAAGTTGCAGTAGAAATGAATAAATTACACGATAAAAACTGCGATCGGTTGCCTTCGCATATTGAGATTCTTGCTTTAAGACTACCATACTGTCATGAGCATTTCCACTGCACAAAATTTAAATTATTGTCAACAATCAGTTCATCTATTGTTGAGAATTGGAAAAATATTCATCTTTACCTGCAAGTGACGGGAAACCCGTCGAGATCTCTGGTAATGGAGCGGCCATCATCACTCAACAGGCGAACATTCTGTAGGGTGAAAGTCTTATAAATAACAAAATTTCCTCGAAATAAAACCGACTATTATGAGGTAATATTGTACTAATGAGTTTGACTGTTTTGCCCAAACCTCAAATTTAATGCTTGTTGTACTGCTCCATTTATAACTTGCAGGTTCATTTAGATCCAATCCAACTGACAGTCGAGACAAATTCACGCCTCCACTCCCTGAACGAGAAAAATTGTCCACAGGTACACCATGGACTCCAATCTCAGGTGAAAGTAAGTGCTGGAACAAATTATTATAAATAAGAACTATATCCATACTCCAACCTCACAATTCAGTTTTTTTAAATATAAATCAACAGAAACCCTAATTATGATGCAAACTTTTTCCTTTTGTCTCTTTCTTATCCACAAAAGCAATGAGAAAAACAAGTAAACAACATCAACAACGTACCTGCATGGTAAAACATTGTTGAGCAACCCATTGCGGTCGAGGCCTCCGATAAGCTACCAAGATATTCGAATCATATAACCCCTTATCCCAGGATACATCAAGCTTCTCGCTTCCACCGAATAAATTCGGGTGTTTGATGCAAAGACTGCAACAAATACATTGAACCAGTTACTATCTCTACAGATTCAATTCGAGCCCCAATTCGTTATCCCAATAAGGTAAAAGATAGAAACAACAAATATCAAATTCACCATAAAGAAACACAGAAATTCATATATTCTTCATCCACATTTTAGCAACAACCAAAGATGTTATCTTTGTTAACAAGAGAAAAAAGACAATACCTGCCAATTACTAGGGAAAGAGGACTGCCGGTATTCCTGTAAGAGAATAGAGCTAAACATCTTAATCAATCACTGAAACCCAATTAATTAAAATCTCATAAAATTGAAGCATGAAGTAAGAACCTTAAAGAAGGAAGCATCATAGAAGCACACATCTTGTGGGTAAAATCAACATTAACATCAATCTTGGCTGCCATTACAAACAAACAAAAGTTTATAGAAATATAAAAAAATATCAAAAGTTGTCATTTTTAATAAAGAATGAAGCAGTAAATGTGACTGCCACTTCAATCCAAAAAATCAAAAGGGAAAAAGAACTGACCTTTGCCTGCATGGATGCTCTTCTGAGCCCCCATATAGTTGGAGATGAAAAAAACATTAAGCAAAGGAAAATGGTTTTTTTTTGGATAAATGGGTATGACTATCAGTTAGACAGAGATTGCATTTTGCGTGAAAGGAAACGAATTGATGGAAAACATCAAAGACGTAAGGAAGAAGAAGAAGAAGAAGAAGAAGAAAAACAAAGGTCTTGTGTTGTGTTGTGTGATGTTTCCTTTGCAAAAGAGGAAAGAAGCCTTATTTTGTATTTCTGGGAGAGTATTTTATCCGATTTGCTCAACCCAAAAGCTGAAGCTTGAAGTTATCTCCTTTGCTTCTTCTTTGGTATTACTTGCACGTGGGGTCTGTCAATGTATTGGGTTTTGTCCCATCTTTTTCACAATGTTTTTCTCATTGGGGATTCCTTGTTATTTATTTATTTTTTAAAATCTTTTCTTTACTTTAGTCCTTGTGGTGAAATTATTACCAAAAAAAAAAATAGAACATGAGATAACTTTGAATGTAACCATCCGAAATTGTGAAGAAAAAAATATTTAATTGAAATTTGATGATTTAATTGTGTAATTGATGAAAATTTGGAGACTAAATTGAAAGCTTTCAAAACTTATAGGTTATTGTAGAGTTTAAGGAAATTCAAGGACTAAGCCCTGAATTTACTCACAAAAATGTCAACAGACACTCTATTAAATATTTTGAATCAACGGGGGGAATTCATAAGTATAATTTGCTAAAATTCCTCCCCACCAACCTCTCATTCCAAACCCGATTCCGATATCGTCCGAATTCCGATCGTCGTTTTGAAACCACCATCGTGTTCATCATCGAGCGAGAAACAAACTCCTTAAATTAATTGAAGTGAAACGCTGCCCAACGCCGTGAATTTCAAGTCAAAGACTCGACGTTTTTTTAGCACCATCGCCGAGAAAATATAAAATTCATCGCCGATCGTTGCTCCGTTTTCGACACCTCCCGCACCATCATGTTCCTTGTGCCGTTTCGAGTTTGCCGGTGTCATCCTTGGTTTCCGTTGACGGCGGCGCGTGAGGAGGTGAAACGGTCAAAGTTTCCGATTTGTTGAAATCGAGCTCTTCGCTGTTCAAAAAATTGAACCGAGCTTTGTAGGTATCTCGAAATCGCTCAAAATAATTTTTAGGATATTTTTCGTGAATTTTCCGACACCGGAATGTGTCCAACGAGCCCCCACGCACCGCCACTACGCGTGGGTAATGTTCAGCTCGGCTAGAATTGTTTAAAAAAAATCGGTTTTTGACCGGTCTGAACTAGGTTGACCGGTCCGACCCGTTGACCACCTTTGACCAGAACTTTGATCGGGTTTGACCGACCATTAAACGACCTTTAATCTTTTTCAAGTATACCTATCCTGACATTTTTTGACGTCCTGAATCTGTTTTTGGGGTTCGTTTCACCAAATTCAAACCCAAAAGTCTCCAAATCGTCAGTCAAACCCGTTGACTTTGATTTTGACAAAGAATTCAAAATTTCGGAAGGTCATACTTTATGTTTTTCAACGTCCTGAATATGATTTCGAAGTCTGTTTTGCCAAATTTTGACTCGAAATCCCCGAATCGAGCATGTGAACCCAAAAGGCTTAGTATTTTAATATTTTGATTATTTATTTGAGTTTTGGTTAAGGAATTGATTGAATTTTTTTTTTGAAGGTACTCGTGTTTCACTTGAGCGTGGATCAGTTAGGTTTGGAGTTGTTCTTTCGTCAGATCAGCCTGAAGCGCGTACTACAAGAATTACCTGTAGGTTTCCGTATATTATTTAAATAAAGATTATTTATATTAGGATTCTAATATGGATTTTTCCAATTCGTAGGATCTAGCGCTGCAGCAGAGCGTGGTCGACAAACCCAGTAATAGGCTTCCCTATCTGATTTCTCAAACTGTTATATGTGTGTTTCATAACAGTGTTATTTTACTATTTCAAAATTATTATTTGAATTGTTTTAGATTGGTGATAATTCATAATACTGTTATGACATGATACTTGATTTTTTAATATTGATTACCTGATATCTGATTTCTGTATTTCGGTATATGATTTTTTTAAGCATGAATTATTCACCAATTTCACTTGAATAGATACTTGTTTATTACTGACATTGGGGGGAATATTGTTGGAGGAAGAATACTTGCAGGCTCCTCGGCTTTGTGCTCAGGGCCTTACTGGACGTGACGTGGTGTATGGTTCTGGGGAACCTACACATTTTGTTCGTGACGGATAGGGGTATTGTTCATATTTTAAATAAAACAAACATGTTTGATGAAATGATTTTTACTGGAATATTTTATTAGTATGTTTTTATACACTATTTGAAGCACACTAGCTTTTTAGCTCATTCTATAGTTTTACCCTTTTCAGATAACAGCAGACAGTAAGCAGCAGATTTGACATCAGGAAAGATCAACTACTTTATTTTGTACGAACATATATCTCTATATATTTTTCAGTTGTGTTTGGTGACATGTATTTTGCTGTCGTTTTGGATATATATGTATTATCGATATTTTGTTTAGTATTATCTGTAATGTTTTATAAGTTGTTTTAAAAAAAATATTTGAATGGGATATATGACCACTTAGGTTTGAGTCTAACTTACAAACCGGGTACGAGGGTTACATTTAGTGGTATCAGAGCCTTCGGTTTAAACACTCGGACTGTATATTGGTCCTAAACTTTGGATTTTTAAGAAATTATGAAAAAAACAACATGTCACCTTATTTTATGATTTAAAGTTTTCTCGAGATCCCTTATGCTAATCTGACATATGTTTCAAATTCTTTCGGTAAAGCCTTATAGATCCAACGATGAGTGCTACTAGAGGTCGTAGGACAGGACGTGGACGTGGTCGAGGGCGAGTTGCTCGACCTTCTGTTACGATAGACGATTCGATATGACCACATGATCATCCTGTTCCGCAAGTAGATCCGACCCTTTCTTATGATGATCAGTTTACTCCTGTGAGAGATCCTCCCATCAGTGGAGATGAGGATACTAACATGAACGAAGATGCCATTAATAGAGTTATATTCCGCATGTTTCAGAGAGCTGCCAGAACCCCTAGTAATATGACTGCGGTTGAGATTTCAAATTCTCTGGTTGCTGCTGGTGTAGTTCCATTCGAGGGTATTACCGGTGGACCTCCAACAGACGTTGAGTATTGGCTGGAGGACACAGAGAGGATTATGTATGAGATTGACCTCAGACCTGAACATAAGTTGAAGGGGGCCCTAACTATATTGAAGAAAGAGAGCTTCAGATGGTGGCAATCAATTTCTGGTAGTATTTCGAGAAACCAGTTAACATGAGATCTTTTCAAGACGCGCTTCTGGAGTCGCTACATCGGAGAGAGATACCTGCATGAACAACTTCAAGAGTTTCAGAATCTAGAACAGGGTAGCATGTTTGTTATGGACTACGAGGTAGAGTTCATTTGATTGAGTCGTTATGCTCCTGGACTTGTTGACACTGAGACAGATCGATGCTTGAGGTTCAAGAATGGACTTATGTATGAGATTAGGAGTCGAGTCGCTACCCACCGATAGAGGAATTTTGATGCATTGGTTGAGATAGCCAAGACTGCTGAGGAAATATAACGATTGGGTATGGAGCACAAGAGAGATAGTGATCGAGCTCAAACCCGATTCAGGAGGCCTTCTGGTTCTGTTGATTTTTCTATACACCCTAGCAAGAGAGGTAGGGGTGAGTCCTTTCAGAGAGGTGGTAAGAGTGTCAGACTTGTTGCATCTGGTTCTTCAGCTGTTCAATCTTCTAGACATGGTGGTTCTTTTGGGTCGCAGTCCTTGCCAACATGCGATTACTGTGGGAAATATCATTTTGGGGAATGCATGATGAAATTGGGCACTTGTTATAAATGTGGGTCTGATGACCATCATTTGAAGGATTGTCCAGAGATACCTCATTCTGTTCAGACACCAGTTCGTACTCCCGCTCGTACTCAGAGTACTGTTCAGACTCCAACGGTGAGTCATAGTTAGGGCAGAGCACCAGGATCGGCTAATAGAGGCCGAGTATCTCAGAGTAGGGGTCCAGTCAGATCTGAGGCCAGACAGCCTGCATTGGTTTACACTGCCAGACTTCGACAAGATCGTGATGGGCCTAATGTGACTGCAGGTACTGTTACTATTCATTCAGTTCCTTACTTTGCATTGTTTGATAGTGGCTCTACCAATTCCTATGTATCACATTCCTTTTCTGAATGTCTAAATATTCCTGTTGAGAATACTGAGCATTCAGTGATAGTTCAAAGTCCCTTAGAAAAGTTCATAATGTTGGATCGTATTTTTAGAGAGTGTCCTATAGAGATCAATGGGAAAATTTTTCTGGCCGACCTGATGGAGTTACCTTTGGAAGAGTTTGATTTGATTCTCAGCGTAGATTGGTTGGACAAACATCGAGTAAATATTGATTTTGAGACCAAAAGAGCTCTTCTGAAGACCCCAGATAATCGAAAGATTGTAATGATTGGGGAACGTCGTGGATTTATGACAAATGTTGTATCTGTTTTGGTAGCTGAGAAGATGATCATAAAAGGTTCCGAGGCGTTTCTTGCTTATATATTGGATATTAGGAGTTCTCAATCTGATATTGAAGGCATCCGAATTGTCAAGGAATTTCCCGATGTTTTTCTCGAGGAGTTGCCTGGATTACCGCCAGATAGAGAGGTTGAGTTTAAAATTGAAGTCTATTATGGTTCCACCCCGGTTTCAATAGCTCCTTATCGTATAGCCCCAAAGGAGCTTAAGGAACTAAAAGTCCAACTTCAGGAGTTGTTGGACAGGGGGATTTATCAGACCCAGTGTATCACCGTGGGGAGCCTCAGTTCTCTTTGTCAAGAAGAAAGATGGGACATTGAGACTTTGTATTAATTATAGAAAACTGAACAAGCTCACAGTTAAAAACAAATATCATTTGTCGAAAATTGATGATCTATTTGATCAATTTCGAGGGGCTTTTATCTTTTTAAAAATAGACTTGAGGTCTGGTTATTATCAACTTAGGGTGAAAGACTCGGATATTCCGAAGACTGCTTTCCGTACTCGGTATAGGCATTATGAGTTTTTAGTGATGTCATTCGGGTTAACAAATGTCCTTGCTGCTTTTATGGATCTGATGCATAGGGTGTTTCGACCTTATTTGGACCAGTTTGTAGTTGTGTTCATTGATGATATATTGGTGTATTCTAGAAGTGAAGCAGAACATGAGGAGCATTTAAGGATT